GAGAGAGAGAGAGAGAGAGAGAGATAAACCTACCGGCAACTCACTCCACTCTCGTGTCCGTGGGTTGAACATCTCTACCGAGTCTGAAGGACTTTGATAGGAGCCGAAACCACCAATTACTACTAAGTACTCATCACCGCTGTCACGCTGGCGGAATCGCCGGTCACGCATTTGAGGACGTAGGTCAGGACGCAGATGAAATCGCTTCGCTTCATCCACGAGGTCACGGCACTCCATCGACAGACGAATGAGCCGCTGCGTTCAAGGTGCCAGCAGAAGGATAAGAACACGAAAAAAAGCAAACTGATTAGACATTCGCATAAGCATAGAAAAAAAAAGCAAATGCCGAAACCCATGAAGTGTTATCACTGGAATTCGGGTGGTTATTAGGGGATAAATTGGTTATTGCTAGTTTTACTAACTATACCTATGCAACATAACAAGTTCTTTTTCTGAACAAGGTTTGCATTAAGGAAATGTAAGACATTTTTGAGTCAAAATTATGTTTCTTTGTACCGGAGTGGTTTTCTATACTGTTGAGTGTCATAGTATTGTTCTTTTCAGGCGATTACAGATTGTGGGTGAATCTAGAAAAAGGCCCACCTAACCTGGATTCCGTGCTGACCAGATATTCAAACTGAGGCGCATTGTTCAATTACACCATAGCTACCAACAACTAACGATCGTCTGCTTTGCCGGTGGGTTTGATTTTGTCTAGCGTGAGTCCCAGTGGCGGATACTGGCCTCAGATGCTGTACCGACAAAATTCACCGCCATGAGCAAGACCTGTTGCTGCTCCACGATTGCGCGAGGTCTGATCCATAAAATCTTTTGCAGTCTCTCGGTCTGGCAGTCGACGAAGCTGTATCCTGTTGCTCATTCTGTTCAACTACGCTATTCAACTACGACGATGACGGTGATGTATTTGCACTAGGATGCCAGCTGACCGATCTTGACTACGACGATTATACAGTAGTCGCCGGTTATTAAGCCCACCTCGGGCCCAGACCAATTGGGCTTAATAAGCGT